CCCCTGTGTAAAAGGAACCCCACTATGGCTGGAGGGATGGGTGTGTGATCTGGGGCCACCAGCACTGCCCATGGGTCTGCGGTGCTCGGGCCTGGGGGCAGCCAGACTCATCCCTGCTCCCCCCGCAGAGATCCGTGAAGCCTTCAAGGTGTTCGACCGGGATGGCAACGGCTTCATCTCCAAGCAGGAACTGGGCACAGCCATGCGCTCCCTGGGCTACATGCCCAACGAGGTGGAGCTGGAAGTCATCATCCAGCGCCTTGACATGGATGGTAGGACCCCGGGACGGGGACAGGGATGGGGACAGGGATGGGACCCCCCAACACCCTTTGGTGAAACACCCCATTTGCCCCACTTCCACCCCACCGGCTGGCAGCAGCTGGACCAGACCATGTGGGATGCAGGACCTGATTCATCCATCGTCATCACCACTGCAGCTTCGCTTAGGATTTAACTGTCCTAGAGTGGGAACAGCACCTCTCCCAGCTCCACAATCCTGCTGGGACCGGGCTGCCGGGCTGGATCCTGCACCCGGGGTTGGATCCTGCACCCTGGACTGGATCCTTCAGCCTAGGTTGGATCCTGCACTTCAGGTTGGATCCTGCGCCCCCAGCCATGCCCTCACCACGGGCTGACCGTGTTCCTCCAGCGCTCGCTGCCACCATCGGCCTCTCCGCGTCGCTCCCGGCTCATTGAGACCTTAAAGAGCGCGTTAATTTATTGGTTTCCTCTCCCCCTCCTTTAAAAGCCTTTCCGGCAGCGCTGCCAAGCTGCTGCTCCTGTCATTACTCATCGTTAGTGCTGCTCTGACAGCCCCGACACGGCATCCTCCGCCGCGCAGGATACGGCACTCGGCCCCTTCCCACCCCTCTGGGGTCACGGCCACCACGGGCGTCCCCACTGACACTGGGGTCCCAGATGAGATTGGGGTACTTGGTTAGTTTTGGGGGTCCTCAGCCAGCATTGCGGGTCTCCAGATACAGCACGGAGGTCCCTCCATGGCATTGCGGGTCTTGGCTTGCACTGGGGACCCCAAGTCACTGTTGGGCATCGTGGCCAATGTTGGGGGACCCCTAATCTTCCTGAAGGTCCCCAGCTGGTTTTGGGGGTTCTCAACTGGTTCTGGGGGTTCCTGACCAGCCATGGTATCGACTCCCCAGCCAGTTTGGATGCACAGGAGCATCTGAGCATCCCCGAGTCCAGGCAGGGATCCCCCTGAGTTCGTCCCACGTGTCCCTGTGCCCGGGCAGGGGTGATGCTGCCCCGTGTCCTGCAGGTGACGGGCAGGTGGACTTCGAGGAGTTCGTAACGCTGTTGGGGCCCAAGTTGTCCACATCCGGCATCCCGGAGAAGTTCCACGGCACCGACTTCGACACCGTGTTCTGGAAGGTAGGAACCCCCAACGGGAGCAACGGGTGGGGCGTGAGGTCAGGGTCAGGGTTGGGGTTGGAGCTGGGATCAAGGCTGGAACTGGGGTTAAAAAGGTGAAGGTTTGGATCTGGGTTAGGGTCAGGGTTAGACTTGGTGTAAGGGTTTGGATCAGGGTTAGGTTTAGGATCAGGGTTGGGGTAAGTGTTAAGCTCAGTCTCAGGCTCTGCATTAGGGTCAGTGTAAGCTTCTAGTGTCAGGGTCCACCATCCTGAAGCTTTCCTGTCCGTGCCACACATGGGGCTGCGGATGCTGCAAGCACCCCCCTGCCATGAATGGGGGGATCCATCCAAAGCACAGCACCCAAGGGTGCCAGGGACCCCGTGGCACCGCTGTACCCCTGCCCATGGGGTCAGCCCCCCGCCTGCTCCCCGCAGTGCGACATGCAGAAGCTGACGGTGGATGAGCTGAAACGGCTCCTGTACGAGACCTTCTGCGAGCACCTGTCCATGAAGGACATCGAGAACATCATCATGACGGAGGAGGAGAGCCACATGGGCACAGCCGAGGAGTGCCCCGTCGACGTGGAGAGTGAGTGTCCGTGGTGCCAAACGCCCCCACCTTGGCCCCGGCTGCCCGGGGGATGTTGGGGTAACCCCCTGCTCTCCCCTCCTTCCCCAGCCTGCTCCAGCCAGCAGATCCGCCAGACCTGTGTGCGCAAGAGCCTCATCTGCGCCTTCGCCATCGCCTTCATCATCAGCGTGATGCTCATTGCCGCCAACCAGGTGCTGCGCAGTGGCATGAAGTAACGGGAGCCTCACCTGTGGAACTCAATCCCTATCGAATCAGACATGCGGTCCCCCCACCCCCCCGGGATGGGGGCAAGCCCGAGGGGGCAACCGCTACTGCACCCGCCATGCTGTCCCCCCTCCCCCCCGGGATGGGGGAAAGCCCGAGGGGGGAAGCCCTGCGCCGGGTCCCCGGAGCGATGGGATCGCATGGCTGTCTGCAGAACATGGAACCTTGGATACAGACACAAACCCACACACACACAACCCCCAACCAAGCATGTACCGTGCATGGAGCCCCGTGTGCTGCCCCCTCCCTGGGCGGAGGATCCCGTCGGATACACCGATACTGTCGTCTATAGCTCTATATTTATGATAAAAACCAAAATCATCCCCTAAGCAATACATGCGCCTCAGATGGTCCCTAAGGATGGGAGCGTTTGCATGGACTTTGGCTGCCAAGGGCTGGAATTC